TAATAATGTATCGGGATATTGTCCGGGCTACGTGTTGTAGTCCCGTGATTTTTAGATACTCACTGTTAACTTATATATTGAGGTATTCCAGTTAGATGTCTATTTGCAATTTACATACATACAATGTTTTGGAAATGAATTAAGTAATTCAACTTGGTAATGATAATGACGTCATAATTGAAAAGAAAAGATATTCCGCATATTTAAATTAAACGTGGCTTAATACGATGACATGTTAACAAGCCGAGTATACACGAGATGTTACAACGTACGTGATTATTTGTGAAAGGGGTTAGAAATTGTTCTTGCACAGTAAAGTAGCGGCACAATGACAACTAATGAAGAGAGTGTAAATGTTATACATGTATGTTTTACCTTTTACTTATGGAGTTTAGTACGATTTGGGGGATCCAATACTTGATTCATTGTTGTTACACTAGAATTAGTATTAATTAAGGAATCTTTCCTTAATTTTCTTCTTTTGCCTTTTTTTGACCTTATAGAATATGAGCCTTTATGTTAGGTCCATAATAATAATTTTGTTAGATAATCTATTAGCAACTAATTACGAGTTTGTAAATAATTAAGTGAAGTGTAACAATGTGAGCCAACTAAGAGATTTAATATATAGACTCTTGTGTACGTTCACATGGTGTGTATGAATAAACTTAGTGTTGTTTTTCTCGTTTCAACCTTCTTTTCTCTGTCCCACTATAAGCATGAAGAATAACCAATCAAAATCATTAAGCTACTATCTTTAGCCGCCTCGAACGACCATAAGGTATATCAAATCTAAAGTAATAACGCAGTCCATTTACCCAGGACTGAACATGTGACAAATTATTACAAGATAAAAACCAACAATACGAATTTTATGTTAAGCAGTCTCTTTCTTTAAAAAATGAAACAAATAATGGCAAGCATGAGTAAACATAAGAAGCATTGAAAATGTTATGTTTCGAGTTCCTAAATTATTTGTTTTCTCACTCAAATACATGTTTGATCATAACTTGGGCCCACTTATCCCCGTACTTAATTAATCAATATAAGAGTAAACAACAATCTAACCCTTAACTAACATTAAATGTGCAACGTCGAATCTCTTAAAATCCTCACCTCATCACCAAACACATGTTATCACGAGTAGGATATGCATCGGTCGAATCAAACCGAAATTTTTAAAAAATCAAATTTAATTGGTTTAAATGGTTCGGTTCGGTTCAGTTCAAAACTGATTCGGTTCGGAAGTGGTTCGGTTCAGTTGGAAATGGTTCGGTTCGGTTCGAAATCGATTCGGGTCGACCTTATTTTGAAAAAAAAAAAAAATTTTAAAAAATAAAGTTATAAAAATCAATTCGGTTCGGTTCAGAAATGGTTCGGTTCGGTTCAGTTCAAAATGGTTTGATTTTTAAACTGGTTCTAAAAATCGGTTCGGTTCATGAACTGGTTCTTTAAAAATCGGTTCGGTTTATGAACTGGTTATTTTAAGAGCGATTCAGCTCGATTCATGGTTTGATTCAGTTTTTTGATTATTTTGCACCTGAGTCACGATATGATCCAACAATATTCAGGATTTATCATATCCATCGCCACCTATTTAAGGCACCACAAATGCATGTAAAATAGACTGAATTCTTAAACATCGGATTATGTACATAATCTACCCTCGTTCATTACACATTCCCTTTACGATGAACATGTCATTTATACAAGTATGTATCTCTTACAAAGTACGTTCTTCGTACCATTATCCTCAAGCTGATTAAAAAAACATACATATGAACTTTGTCTCCATTTTCTATATCTAAAAAATATTTTTCTTTTTAGCATGAAGAAATAAATAAGCCATTACAATTGCCGAAAATACTAAGGCCAATAAAAGACACAAAAATGGAGGATAAATTTATCATAGAATTGGTACCTCAATTTAATATTTTGACCTATTTTTTATTAATATTTTTATTCTATTAATCTATTATTTTAATTATTCTTGTTTTTATAAAGAGAGTCCATAATTTATAATCACTTGAATTCATATATAATTAAAAGTATAATTAAGTGAATACTTATATACATATTCTCTTTACTATTCTATTGCACACCTGAAACGATCTTTAGAACATGACAATTTTTTGATTATTAGATATAATATAGATAACTAAGATTATAAATATATTAAGTACATAATATATTAATTTACTTACTCTTCTAATTTTGATTTACGAATTAATAATAAAACTTATATACAAATTGTGAATTAATTTATAGAAAAATATGTAGATACTCTCAGACATCCAATGACAAATCCAAAAAATAATTTTAGCTCGTGCAAAAAAAGTCAGCCAATTCTAAAGCTGTACCATAATATTTTTTAAAGAAAATCTGTATTATTTTTGAAAACTAACCAGTTTCAAAACCTCATTTGATCTCAATGTGCTCCGCTAATAATGACATCGAACAGTTAAATTAAAAATAGGGGCTATAAGTCCCTGAATGTATAAAAAAAAAAAGAAAAAAAAAAGAAAGAAAGAGAAATCCAATTCCTGAAACCAAATTCCCAATGGCTAGCAAATTGCAAAGTACCCTATCTTTCATTTTCTGTCTTTTTCTCGCTTTTATTCTTTTGCAGCCAAATATCCAACAATTCATGTTATTTAATTTGATTATCTGATTCTGCGCGTGCATCTTAGATTTGAATTTCAAAGATCACCGTCTTTCTAAAAAATTTATTATCAAAATTAAACTGTTTACGGAATCGGATACCAACAATGTAAATTCTAAATCTGTAACAGTTCAAAACGGTATAACTTATATTAATTTATTTAGCCTCGCTTGTACAAATTGATATCGAATCTGACTGATTTGGAAATCGATCTGCACAAAAAAATATGATATGGTCACGTGAGAAGATCACAATCATATAAAGATAAATCAACGGTTATGATTTCGTAACTACTTATTTTATCATTTTTTCTCTCTTCTCTTTTTTTACCATTGATCCACCTTTATATAGTTATGATTCTCCACATGACATGATCATCTGAAAATTCACATGAGAAGATCTAGATCCCTCATATTTAGCTTTTAAACTTTAATTCACAACAGCATTTGTTTCTTTGGTCAACACTTACGTTACGTGTGCTTCCAAATTCCAATTCCAATGGGTCTAGAGAGCACGTGCTACACGCCGTGGTCGGTGTCAACTATCTCATGTTACAAAGGTCTGTTTGGGCTGTTCTTTTATAAATCAAATTTCTCCATTTGGCAACTTCATTAGTGCCATGCACCAGAAATAACAGTGTAACAATATTCATAATTTTGAAAAAGAGTCACCATGTTTTATTGTAATTTCAACTTTATTAATAAAACAATTTTAAAGTTAACAACCTAATTAGTACTTGATGTCTAAAGCACCTACATGCTGAATACATTTTCAGTGCACCTATTGTATGTGAGATTTTTTCTCAAAAACTAACACATAGATTAATTTCCCCCCCTCTTTTTTCCATACAACTAGCACATTTTCTTTCCGACTTTAATTGGTCCGTTGCAGCAGTATCCTAGAAATTCCGATACATGCAAATGATGTGATAACAAACATGCTCATGTTATTTTTTAGTTTTGAGGTAAATTGTTTTATCTTTTTGTAAAATTTATTGAAAGACGCTCGTGCATTAAGAGGCATACGTCCCTCAGTAATTTTCATGTTATTTTGAATAGATATAATCACACAACAACTTAACCCGAGTTCGTAGTAATTTTTACAAGCACATGCTAATTAGAATTTTTATTGGAGATAACGATATTTTATTTTTTGTATAACTTATGGAAGGACGCTCAAGCTTAGAGAATATTTCTCCTTTGCTATTTAGAATGGACACAACTATTTAATTTGAGATCATAGGAACTTTACACGTGTAATGCTTTTGTATAAATTGTATTTTTATTTTTTTATATTTTTAAGTGATGTTTGTTTCATAGAAGCGATTCTTTTTTTAATTTTTTTTTTCAGAAATTGTGACATGTTTCCTATTTGTTTCACAAAAAGTATAATAACATAATTCTTACTCAAGAATTTTCCAATATATTAAAAAGCGCAAATGAATAAAATTTAAACAGGCTTAAAGAAATTAACGTTTGTTGTGAATTATTTATCTAGTACAGTTGGTAAATAATTGAGTTCCTTAAGCATGTTGACAGAGAGTTCAATATCTAATCATGTGTATGAAAAAATATTGTTGAGAGAGATTTATTCACTTAACATGATCTCTCGTCTGAAATTAATTTTCTACCTTCGATTGAAGGATACTTTGAAAAATAAAATAAAATAAAATAGTGAATGCAAATTTAAAAATTAATTCACGCATAAATATTTATATTCATTTTTTTACCTGCAATTCATTGGATTAATTAGATAGTGATTTTTAAATTTGCATTAATTACATATTTTTCTCTCTCGTATAACTCAATTTGAATTAACGAAATAATACTAGTTCAATTGATATATAAAAATTGAATAGTGAAAAGAAAGAAGATTCGATTAGATTCTCATATACCTTACATTTCAGATTAGTTTTATAGTCAGTTCAAGAATCTAAACTTATAAAGACATCCGGATAACCTATTTAACTCAAGAAGGTAATTAGGATATGTTTAAAAAAAAATCCCTCAATTCGAATTATTTTCTTATGAAAGGGTTTCGATTAAAATAAGAAAAGAAGAACGCAGCCTAAAAAAAAAAAGCCAAATAGAAAAGCTGCTTCGAAGTTCAAAGTGTTGAAAGCAGTATCTGATGTCACAACAGAATGCATATTCCACAACAATCCCCTGAAAAGTTCCATTTGTACCCTTCAAACTTGAAACCCTTTAACTCTCTCTCTCTCTCTCTCTCTCTCTCTCTCTCTGTCTCTTTCTCTCTCTCTCTCTGGCCATTTCTGCCAATGAAGCAGAAACGACCGCAACCCATCAACCCCGACGTCAAAACCCTTCCTTTTAGATAAATGAAGAAAAAACCACGCTCCTCCGCCGTCACCTTCATTCTCTCCGCCGCGGTGTTTATCCTATGTTCAGTACCATCATTTCATGCTCTCGGCTCCGGCACCTCCCTCGCCATCAATGACGCCTCCGCCACCGTCTGCGGCATCGTGGCAGAGGAATCGACTCGGCGCATTGAGTGCTACCGTCGCGGCCAGGTCATCTCCGCCACACCGAACGTGTCTTTCTCGTCGATCTCTGGCGGGAGGAGCTACTTCTGCGGCCTCAGGTCCGGCAACTACAGTTTGCTCTGTTGGGACACCGTCTCTTCCGAAGTTGGCTTCGAAAGGAAAAGGCTTTACAACAATGACACTGTTCTATTCGAGAATCTCTCTGTCGGGGATACCCAAGTTTGTGCCACGGTCGTCGGCGCCGGAACGGTGTCGTGTTGGAGAGTCAATGGCGCGTTTGAATTGCCTTCTGGGTCTGATCATTTTGCGTCTATTTCATCTGGGTCTGGCTTCTCTTGCGGAATTCTGAGGAACAGTTCAAGGGTTCGGTGTTGGGGAATTGAGTCCGTTGCAAGAAGGATAGAGAATGCGTTTGGAAACAATTCTATGGTGAGTCTTGTAGCTGGTGATTCACATGTTTGTGGATTAAATTCAACTGGGTTTTTGGTTTGCAGAGGAAGTAATAGTTCTGGGCAAATCGATGTTCCGCAAGGAGGGGCTTTGGAGTATTCTGGGTTAGCACTCGGAGCTGAGCATAGCTGTGCTATTAGAAGATCCAATGGTTCTGTCGTTTGCTGGGGTGGCAGAGGATTGTTCTCGGTTAATGTTACAGAAGGTGTTTCTTTTGAGATCATTGTTTCTGGGTCGAATTTTACTTGCGGATTGACAACAAACAATTTTTCAGTTATGTGTTGGGGACCTGGTTGGTCTAATAGTTCTCATTCTGGTTCAGGTTTTGAGCTTCCCTTGCCTCCTATTCTTCCAGGGCCTTGTGTTCAATCTTCTTGCAGTGAGTGTGGCATATATCCTCAATCTCAAACTTTGTGTTCTGGCTATGACAACATTTGCAAGCCACAGCCTTGTTGGCCTCAAATGTCACCGCCAGCACCGCTGCTGATACCACCATCGGTGCCGGCACCACCACCATCTTCTCGATCAAAGACTTTGACAAGGGGCTTATTGGCATTTGTCATTGTTGGATCCATGGGAGGTGTTGCTGGTATTTGCACAGTAGTTTATTGCTTGTGGACTGGGGTTTGTTTTGGGAAGAAGAAAATCCACAATTCTGTGCAACCAACAATCACTAGAGGTGGCAGTGTCAATGGTGGGTCTGTTTCAAATAATAGCCCACCTTCGAGATCATCCACCATTAGGCGTCAGGGTTCAAGGATAATGAGGCGGCAAAGAAGTGGAACCTCATCAACAAAACATCCGGATATGGCAGAGGAGTTCACCCTTGCTGAGCTCGTGGCAGCAACCAACAATTTCTCACTTGAGAACAAGATTGGTGCTGGAAGCTATGGTGTTGTGTACAGAGGCAAACTTGCTGATGGTCGTGAGGTTGCAATCAAAAGGGAGGAAGCTGGTACTACTAAGGTGAAGATGTTTCTAGAGAAAGAGAGTGCATTTGAGTCAGAATTGGCCTTCTTGTCACGTCTACATCACAAACACTTGGTTAGGCTAGTTGGGTTCTGCGAAGAGAAAGATGAAAGACTCTTGGTGTATGAGTACATGAAGAATGGGGCCTTACATGATCATTTGCATGACAAAAACAACGTGGAGAAGAGTAGTAGTGTATTGAATTCTTGGAAAATGAGGATCAAAATTGCACTGGATGCTTCGCGAGGAATTGAATATCTCCATAATTATGCAGTTCCATCCATAATTCACAGAGATATAAAGTCTTCTAACATTCTCATTGACTCGACTTGGACGGCAAGAGTATCTGATTTTGGATTGTCATTGATGAGTCCAGACTCTGACCATGATTACCGAACATTGAAGGCAGCTGGAACAGTTGGATACATTGATCCTGAATATTATGGTCTAAATGTTGTGACAGCAAAGAGTGATGTCTATGGGCTTGGAGTGGTATTGCTTGAACTCTTAACGGGAAAGAGAGCTATATTCAAGGATGGTGAAAATGGAGGCACCCCTATGAGCGTGGTAGACTTTGCAGTGCCTGCATTTATGGCTGGAGAGTTGGAGAAAATTTTGGACCCGAGGGTTGAACCACCAGTGTTGAATGAAACAGAAGCGGTGGAGCTTGTGGCCTACACTGCCATGCATTGTGTAAATATTGAAGGGAAGAACAGACCAATAATTTCTGACATCGTGGCCAATTTGGACCGTGCTTTGGCTCTTTGTGAGAGTAGTCATGCTCATGGCACTATTTCCAGCAGTTCAATCTCTATTGCATCTGACTGATATTCAAATCCCGCATAGGGAAACAAAATTGAAAATGTTCACTCATTCTTATTGATTCTTTTCCGATGAACTATATGGGTGTACTCTTGGGTTGTAAAGACTAATGTCATCTAACATTAGGCTGTAGTGTAGAATTTTGTGAAACACTAACAGCCAGTAAAGTTGATCATTAATTTTTGAAAATGTTTACTCATTCTTATTGATTCTTTTTTGATGAATTGTATGGGTGTACTCTTGGGGTGTAAAGACTATGAATGTCATCTAACATTAGGCTGTAGTGTAGAATTTAGTGAAACATTATCAGTCAGTAAAATTGATAATAAATTTTTGCAATTTAATATTTAATATTAGGATTTACAATCTGCAATCTTTGTATGCCTTGCACATGGCATTACAGGTTAAAGTTTCATTTATGCTTAATGCAGGCGTATGTGGGTACAAGTACTGTAAAATTGTTTCAACTTCTCTTTTTGTCCTTTAAGTGTTAGGCTACACAGTTTAAGCATTGTACTTGATGTTAGCTTTAAATTAGGCACCGTCAACTTATTTATTTGGTCACGGTGAGACAAGCAACTTGCCCTTCACAAGTGATTAGCTTTTAGAGCATGAAAACACCATGCAAGTGCGCCTTCATTTTAGGTTGCTCTTTGTTTGAGTAGTTGAGCTATTGAGGCCGCCACACACAGGCACAATACTAATAGACACCCTTTTTGTTCTTTATCATATTTCTAAACATGGTCCACATCAAAATAGACCGGTCTAGTTAAATTTTCAATTACTTGAAAGACGTAGGTGACATCTATGATGGCTCGCAAGTTTGACTAAAGGCAAGGAACCAATTTAAGAAGTGGATTGGTTAATGCCTATTGCTTCTTGGCAATTTGCTCTTCTTCGTGAAATAAGTAATTCAAGCAGATTTTTTTTCTGCACAAACCAAATAGGGAAGGGTGCCTTTAATGGCTCAAAATTAATAACTTGCAAATTCTGAACATGATGGACATAAGGGTAATGGGCCATAGGCCTAATTGGGTAACAAATTTGTGAAGTAAAATATGTTCGGGCCGTGATGGTGATGATGAGTGTGTTTCTTTTTTTTTTTTCATGAGTGTGTTCTTATGTAATTAATAGCCGGTGAGGGTGAGCCAACCCTTTGTGTCTATTTATGTTCGGTATGAATGCTTCTAGACCAAGGCAATACCCAAGCCGAGGCTATTTATGTGTTTGTCGTGTAATAAAAAGTCTACCTTTAACAGATAAGCATCTCATCAGTGACCCCAGCTCAGAAAGGCTCTACAATACAATTCATTTGGGGTGAGTGGCATTGTTTCCTTTTCCTGTTTTTTATTGGCTTCTTTAAACTCGGAATTTAGAGAGAATTTTTTTTTGGGTTAAAGTTTCTAAAATTAGATAACTTTATCTAATATTCATCAAAATACACACAAAAAGTATATGGGATAACCCCTATGAAAATAAGAGAAAAAAAAAAACATAGGCCACATATAGGGGTGGTAAATGAACCAGAGGCCTTTCAGGGCCTTTGGCCGGGCTTGTAAAGACCTAAGCTTGCAGGTCTAAAATTGGTTGTTAGAACTAGACTTGGACTTGTATAAAAGTTCGTTTAATAAAAATGTCACAGACTCCAATTCAAAAGTCTGAAATTAAAGCCTTTCCGGCTAACCTAATATATTAACTTTTATTTTTATTTTGTATTTTTTATACTACTTATAATAATCTCCTCTCTCTTCTCAACCCATTTCACTCCATTTTATTGGTTAAGTAGATTTTTTGAATGATTTTATTCTATATTATGCTGTTTGGATATATATTGAATTTACGAATCTTTATGAAATTATTAGTGTTGTTGATTGTATATTCTGTTTGAATAAATTTTTGTTGTCTTATTTTTTTAACAAGTTAATAGGTTAAATCGGACTTTTATTTTTTGTAAATAAATTAAGCCACATACCGATAATTATATTCATAACAGGTAACAAGTTAAGTCAGGCTGACACATTTAATTACATGCTTAACCTTTTTATACCAAACTCGACCCGCCTCGTCCCATTAACACTCCTAGCCACTTACACTTTTTTATATGTATTTTGATGAACATTAAATAAAATTATCTAAAATAATTTTCGAAACTTTAAACCAATTTTTTTTTTGTCGTTAGCCAAATTTTATTTTTCTTTTGCGTGATTAACTAATGTGATATTTGACTGCGATCTAATAAAGTTTTACGACAAGGTAGCCAAAAATATGAAATTGGCCCCACTTATTTACATGTTACTTTTATAAACTTTACTTACAAAACTTATAGAATGTTAACTTTGGAGAAAAAAATTGACCTATCACACGCAGGATATAAGTCTCAGACATGAAAGTCCCAAAAACATCCAATCACTAAAACTTCAATGCATTTTTATTTATAAAAAAAGCTTCTTTTTGGTAAAAAAAAAAAACCATCCAAATAGGATGTAAATTAAAATACTTTAACTATCTAGATATGATAGAACTCAATCAATTTTTTTCCATCAACTTTAGTTTTAATTTTGATTAATTAAATGTATATAACTATTTGAATAATTAATGTAAAAACTTTGTCATCCAAAACACATTTCATTATGTTCATATATAAGTATATATTAACAAGTCTTACAACACAAATACCTCTCCTCAAGAGAAAAAAAGAAAAAGAAAAACACACACAAACAACACATTTTATTTCTTGAAGTATTATTCAATGGGTATCATTCACGACATCATCTAGCTACTACATACAAACTCTTACTAACATAACTTAATGGCTGTACATAATAATGTAGAGGAGAGGATGCATGGAATCAATAAAATTCAAAGCGCATAAGAAGTTTTACAGAGTTGTATTTATCTCCCTTCTGGCTATGCAGCGGAATTGATCGAATGCCACTTCTTAGCTCCCAGACAGGTAGGCATGTTTGGCCACCAAAGTCATCCTTCTCAGACATGTCATATTCATGAACTTCAATGCGAAGCAGTGCCAATTCTGGAACAGTAAGTGGGAACTCGAATGTCTCATTCCATGAAGGCAACCAATTATCCTCTATTGCCTTAGTTTTTCTCATCACAGTATCATTAGGGACCCCAGCAATCCCCACCTGCATAAAAGTTTATCAAATCAATTTCAAATGTTGAGTCACAAAACAACTGAGCCATGAACTGGCTGTAAAACAAAAGGAAGGATAGATGAACAGCAAGAAAGGTATCATATGCAATAGATTGCAAGGAAGGAACTACCCTTTTGAATTGAAAAGATATTGCTATGATAAGGATCCCCCCATTAAGAGTATGGAGGTGAGAATTGATCTAGTAGATCATCTTGACTTACTCTTGCGTAGAAGTCTGGAGGTGAGTATTGATCAAAGTGAGTATGCTTGAAATCATAATACCATCCTTCTCCCATATATACAGTCACCTAAGAATAAGAAAAGTAGGACCTTTGTTAGTATTAGGCTAGAGACATTCGGGTGAGGCAGTTGAACGACGGAAAGCCCTTACCTTCAAAGTAGTCTTCACTGGTAACTTAGCTTTAGGATCGAAGACCTCATTATTCGGACCAGTCTCTAATAGAAAATCTGGTTTTTTAACATAACCACACCGTCCGTTGGCTCTGAACATCCCATGCATCAACCAAAGTGATCTTCCATACCCCTGCCATGAAACCAATCACAAAGAAAACTGATACATATCGAACAATATTATAGTCAATTAATAAACTTCATGATATTAGATGTGCAATAGCAATTAGCAGCCTCTAATATAACTGAAAGAAGTGAGACTTCAATCCATCACATACTAAAGGGAAAGTCGCAGACAATAACACACATCAATTAAGATATTCAATAAATTATAAATCATGCTAAAATAGGTCTGCCCCATATTTCAACCATCACATTGCTTGAATTTAAATGTTTATTGTATTTTGTTAGACTGTTAGTAGCTTGAAGGTTATCAATTTCCTCTTCCCCCAGCGCCCCAAAAGAAGAAGAAAGAACTGAACCAACAAAAATTAAAATACAAAACAATAGTAAAAATCCCTAAATAGAGAGAATACTATATCAGGAATAACAAAAAATGAGGAGCCGGGGTACAGGAAGAAATAGAAACCTGCATGTTAAATGCAACCATCTGAGCTCCATGCATCCAACCAATTAATGGGTTATAATTTGACGAGTCAATGCGAGTACCTTTCGGATACACCCTCAGTATATTCCGCTGAGTGAACCTATAGTAGGCCAACAATCAGGAAATACAAATTTATTTAAACACACACACCCTCAGTACATCTTCTCTTTCCATTTGCGCACAGAGAGAGAGCGAAACAGCTATACCAGGAAAATAATGAAGAAAATTCTATAAGCGAAACAGCCTACAAAAGGTTTGAGTTTGCTCCAAAAATTGAATTAACCATCCGACATACTTCCTATATCATCTTATTGTTAATGCATTCAGGATTTTCTAATCTGATCACAATCTCAGTTAGAAAAGATGGTAGGTCAAACAGCTATTAGCATTAGTAAGCATTCATAAGTCATACTTATGCAGTGGACCATCAAGAGAGCCAGGAAATCTAAGTCAAGCATAATATATTTAAAGCCAAGGTGTACTACATTTGCATGAAAATAAAGAGTTACAGGATGTCAAGCTCATTCATTCTGAGGGTGTTCAACCACATACAAATAAGTTCTCCTTAAAGGGACTTACTAGAAACATTTAATAATACCTGACAAGCTCTTTTCCATGAGTTAAAGCAGCTTTTTCAAGCTGCTGCTCACTTAAACTTAGACGTCTCACTTTATCAGGATCCACTTTGAGCCAAGTATCTAGTCCACCTTTAGGCTTCCCAGCATGAATGGCAATTAAGCGTCTATATTCTGGAGCTTCATTATGGTGTGACTTATCCGATTCATCATGATCTTCCTCATCATTAAGATCCTCTTCATCCACATTGCCATCCTAAAGATGACAAACCAGAAAGTCAATTAACAAATCTCCCTTACGAAATTAAATGCAGTGGCAATTTATATACAGGATTATTTAGTCTCAGACCTTGTAATCAGCTATAGTACCACCTTTCAGGCTTGGGACTTCCTTCCCCCAAGCTTCATCATCGCCTGAAGCCTTTCCCTGCTGTGAATCATCCCCTGAAGCCTTTCCCTGCTGTGAATCATCCCCTTTTTCCTTTTCTTTTGCTTCAAGGTACTCCTTAGGTGGTTTGGTTGATATAATTATCCTCTTTTTGAGTGATTCAGGAGGAGGGAATTCCTTCAAGCCTTCTGTGCTAGGAGAAAATAGTATGTCTCCAAATATTTGAGTAACCATCTAAAAATTTGGACATAATTGTCAACTATAAGAATGCAAGCATTTTGACTTCCGATAAAACACCAAGTAACTAACCTCAGCCACTTTAGCCTGAAGATTTCGAGTAAGATGGTCTTCTAGGGTTATTACAAGTGGATATTCTGATGCGACAAAGGCATGTTCCTTAATAGACCTCAAACACCTTACGAGCTCTACAGGAGTAGTCAATGTCCTGCATTAAAAGAAAATAGATATGTAAACAACTGTTAATTTATAATTGAAAAAGATTTCAAACTTTTGTTCCTATTTTGTCTGTAATGCCAGATTGCTTAGAAAACACTACAATTTGTCACCCTTTTTACTTCAACTGATCTTGGCAACATCATTATCAAAGAAAATAGAACGATAAATCTTCATCAATTGTTGGATAACCATTTTCCTTTGCAAAATTGTGTTCTCGAGGCAATTCATGCTTACACTCAAGACAGCAAATCAGAGCAGAAAAAGATAACTGAAATAAATATTTTTTGAAACTGTTAAATTTGTTTCTTAGACTTCTGCCTGATGATCACTAAAGAAAAATCAGGGAGAAAAAAGAAAAGAGACAAGGGAGCTAGCATGAATAGTCAATATCATTCAACCCATAAACTTACCTTCCGTGAAGAACCTCCACATCATCCTTTGATGCATTAGGCCATATGTCCAATTCAATCACCCTTACACCTCTCCTCAGTGCATTTATGATTGGGACGTCACTGCAGTCGCTACTCAACTGATTCCCAGTTAGATAGGAATTATGACCAGTATATATGAAATAATGAGACAAGGGTAAAGTCATATCTTGGTGCACCTGGAATAGAAGAAATAATTACACAAAATACAACTATCAGAATAAGAGAGTACACAAAATTATACAGAATATAATACCAATACCTATGTAAGAAATGATGAGTTGTGGGAGGTTTGGATGGAATCCAATATGTTAATCAAAGTTTTGGCTCAAAACCAAATCCTTTTTGTAGTCCCTTGGGGCTTGAATTTTACAGAATCAAGGTACTGGAAAAGAAGATCCTGAACTAAAATGCCTTTGTAAAGAACCAATTCAACCCAAAAGCTTAAGCTGTCGGGTGAAGCTACATTAATGGTTTTATATATCTCAACACGCCCCCTCACATGAGAGCCCAATCGGCTTGAAGGGTGGACAATGCACAGGCCCACCTACCTGTGCGAAGAAAGAAATTCCACTAGAAAGAAAGTGGGAGGCGGTGAGTATCGAACCCGGTACACCGAGGCTTGATACCATGTAAAGAACCTTGAGGTCACCACCCCAAAAGCTAGCTCAAAGGGTGGGAGTGTCCAAGACCTTATAAACTCCACATTAGTTGCACATACAACCAATGTGGGACTATATATCTCAACACGCCCCCTCACACAAGAGCCCATTGGGCTTGAAGAGTGGACAATGCAACAGGCCCAGCCTACCTGTGCTAAGAAACACCACAAGAGAAAGTGGGGGACGGCGAGGCTCTGATACCATGTAAAGAACCTTGGGATACACCACCCCAAAAGCTAGCTCAAAGGGTGGGAGTGTCCAAGGCCTTATAAACTTCACATTAGTTGCACATACAACCAATGTGGGACTATATATCTCAACACGCCCCTCGCACAAGAGCCCATTGGGCTTGAAGAATGGATGATACAACAGGCCCAGCCTATCTGTGCTAAGAAATTCCACAAGAGAAAGTAGGGGACGACGAGGCTCTGATACCATGTTAAGAGCTAGCTTTTGAGGTGGTGACCTCAAGGTTCTTTACAGACTTGGTGTATTAAACACAACCAAAAGCAATATAAAAACTAAAAAGTAACGGCATATCATGAAGACAATGTGACGCCATATGGTATATATATCCAACAATAAAGGGTGTCGCCGTATAATGAAATGGGAAGCAAAAGACTTTATATTTCCTGCAATGCCCTGTGCTTCTCAAAAGAAGGAACATATAAGAGAAAGGTTTAACTGCATAAACCCATTCTAATTTTATTTTATTTTTTAAAACTAATCCTCATCCTGTATTATTTCTCACTATGTAACTACAATTACAAATCATAATAGTCAATTTGCTCAGCCAAAATGCAATAAATGACCGAAAGTATATACTTTTTTTTTTCTTTGGTAGCAAAAGTATAGAATTGGCACCAATATGAAGCAGAATTAGTACAAATTCAGTTGCGATTTACCTTAATATGATATAATTCACCAAAAATTGTAAGGAAAGGACAAAACTTCAAACTCAGATACGATTATGCAAAAAACAAGAAAAGGTAGAAAGTAAAGGCAAAAAAATGAGGTAACAAATCAGGTAAATTCCAAATCCACACTAACAAAGAGAATACCCCAATTAGAAAGTAAATAATGCCAAATCCGGATCTCATTAGGAAAATGAAAAAGCTGAATCCTTTTCTTACCCCAAGAGAAGGTAGGAGAGGTGGGTTACTATCACTGAAAAGGTACTTGAAGAAAGTTTCAAGATTGAGTCCCACGCCCTTGCGATGAAAATGCTTGTAGCCATCGATTATGGCTTGTGCTTCCTCTTCAGTTGCCTTCTCTTGCATCTGCACCTCAACCAAGAACCTTCTCAGGTTTGAAGCTGTCATGACCTCATTCTCGGAGTACTGGTCGAAAAGGGTCTTGATCTCCGGCGGTGCCTCCGCCAACGCCAGCTTGAACCGCCGTCGCCAGCAGAAGCAGACACTGTAAGTCTGTTTCGACATGATGATGCTGATCGGCTGGTGGTTACTTGCTTCTTGTTCTGTCTTCTCCACTCTCCAGCGAGACACAGAACGGAACAAGAAAGAACAAAGAGGTTGTTTTGTCTCGTCTCTTCAGAGTTCTGAGAGGTTGAGGTGGGTCCTCCAACGAATTAGTTCATGAACACTTGGTACCAGCCAAATTCTGGCAGCAATTTATAAATTGGGTATTACAATTCTTGAATTAATTTTTGAGTTGAATTTTGAATAGTTAAACATGATTAACTAAGAACTAACGCGTCACAATTATGAGGTGTCCCACTCCCACACACACAAATACAGAACTAATTTTTACTCCAGTGTCGGTTCTACTTGCCCACGCGCTGAAATCATCGTCGAATTAAAACGATGATCGTTCATATCCAGCTCCGACCAACAACTGTTACGGAAATCCAACCAATCGCTTGAAAGATTGCGTCAGAGTCGATAACGTCATTAATTACGTGACAAAGCACAGGAACTTTAGGTATGATAATATTGATAATATTCACATGCCATGCATGGCATTTTTTTAAAATAATTATTATATAGAAATATTAATCTGGTGGCACTAATGCATCGTGCAATGTAATGAGTATTCACCGGGCCCACCACTTGAATAATTTTTAATTACCATAATATTTTGTATCCTCCTCCTTTAGTGGTTTTAATACAATAGGTAACGTTGACCTCTGGAAGCAAAGCTTGTGTGCATACCTTGTACACATTTATTTTGAATTAAGACAAAATTAAAGTTGTTAAATAGAAGTCTTATTGCCTAGTTAATTATTACTTTCTATCCTTATCCATAGCATCTGAAACAATTGTTGTTATTACCTAACATCTACACCAATTTCATACATCCCTACCTTATATATCCTTGTTCACATCAACACAACTCGACTTTTCATTAAACTTTAAATATAAAGGCATAGATTTATTTTCAGAACAATGACTAAAATGTGATCATGCGAACAATATTATTTCTCAATATGTTACGCGGGTAAGTTTGCTACAATGTCCAACAAACTTGGTTTACTGACGTGGCACGTTTCTGGTGGATAACAAGTTCGCTACTCCCAGTAGCGAACTACATTGTCAAAATGTCAGTATGCTCTGAGCAAAAGCAAGATATGTGTTAGCCGCGTAGAAGTTCTCTCAGAGACACAACGAACTATGTGCAGCTGTCAGAGAAAAATAGACATTGAATTACGTGTCAAATTGTAACAAGTTCGCTTCTCAATCTAGCGAACTTGGGTGTTGTAGCTTCTTTTCTTGTACTGGATCCTTCATTGACTTTTTACAACAATTGAAGTTCACTTATTAGAGAACCTATTTGAATAGCCAGGTGGAACACATTTCTCTTGTTAAAAAAAACAACTTTTTACATTGCAGATTAACATGGCTAACTTCTTGCAAAAGACTCTCAAGTATGACGTGAAAGTAAAAGAAAGCTTGAGTATGGTTTACACCAAATGTGTTGTCTTATTTTTCTTCTTGGTGTCAGACCGGCATTGAAAAAGAAGCTACCCTTCACCCAAGTTTGCTAGATTGAGAAGCGACCTTGTTACGATTTAAACTAGTCCACCGCCTATTTGTTTTACAGTTGCATATAGTTCGTTGTGTCCCATAGCGAACTTCTACGAGACTAACACGTATCCTATTTTTGCTCAGAGCAGATTGACATTTTGACTATGTAGTTCGTTACTGATAGTAGCGAACTAGATGACAACCAGAAACGTGTCATGTCAACAAACGAAGTTCGCTATATGCTGTAGCGAGCTTGTATGTATGGCACTTTGGAAAATTTTACTGTTTGCGTGACAATTGAGTAATTTTTTTCAAAAGGGTGGCAAATAGGTCACTGTTCCTCTGTTTTCTCTAAAAGCGAGTTATTAAATCCAGCCTGGTGCCAAGGTATTGGATTATTGTGTCATTGGTTTCATCAGTGAGTCACCGTTTTTTTTTTTTTTTGGTAGAATGAGTCACTGATTCAATTGTATGACCTGATAAGTATATGCAAATCTATAATTTATATTAAAAAATTATAAACAAACTTAAATACCTGTAAGAAAATACAATTTTAAATATTTTAATATGAAAAATAATAAATCACACATTATTATCCAACAAAAGATTAAACAAACGTATAATGTTTATGATACTCGTACTTTATGTTCAGTAGACAACATCTCTAGCTATAAATTAAATCAAAATTTCTAATATATTGTGTAACTAAGATAATATTAGTGTTGTAGGTACAAAACATATGTAAGTTAATAAGCAACAAATTACTCAAATATTTCAAAAGAAAATAATTCATTTGTTAATTTTAAAAAAATGAAGTTGTTATGGAATAAATCTATATCTTAATCGCATATCCCTTAAGGGATTATGATACATCTTATCCACATCTCAACAATAGAAGATAATAAGGATAAAGGGATAAAACCCTTATCCCTACAAGTTAGAGGTTGAATCATATATCAATTGAGGGATCTTGACAGCCCAAGGCCAAGAAGTAACCCCTATAAATAAAAAGCTAAAGACCAGATACAAACTTTTAACATATTTTACTGTTGCTGCTAACACTATACACACCTTGGTTACATGCCTATTGATAGTGCGCAATGATTGAAGTATTATCTATAAGCCAATACGGTATAAATTCTCGATTTTCTAGGATCGAACAGAAGTCACTAGGGTTAGCCTAATGGCAAGGGGTGTAGGTAGGTGTATTAGGTGACGTGTGTTTTAGTCCTTCTTCATGTATAAAAAAATGATATCCTTTATGATTTATTTTCTTTGAAATTTTTTTTTTTATGAATCGGGTCGGGTCATCGATTTTCTCAAATATTCGGTTATGTTACTTAACCGCTCCAACATTATTATTTTTTTAAAATAATAATGTTGATAACGTCATTAATTACGTGACAAAACACAAGACCTTTAGGTATGATAATATTGATAATATTCACATGCCATGCATGGTATTTTTTTAAAATAATTATTATATAGAAATAGTGACCTGGTGGCACTGATGCATCGTGTAATGTAATGAGTATTCACCGGGCCCACCACTTGAATTTTTTTTAAAGAAAAAGTATTTCTTCCGTGATCATAGTTATCTCCAGTGAATTCAAAACGATATTATTTTGAGGTTATAAGATTAAAAAATTATATGGATAAAGACTAATATAACTTTGCAATATATTATAATTACCAAAACACCTTGATTTTTGCCCAAAACAACGTCGTTTTGAACTAATTGAAGATAATTTTATCTCTGACGATCGAAGAAATCTTTTACCCATCTTCAAATACCATAATATTTTGTATCCTCCTACTTTAGTGATTTTAATACAATAGGTAACGTTGACCTCTGCATGCAAAGCTTGTGTACGGTATGTACAAATTTATTTTGAATTAATACAAAATTAAAGTTGTTAAATAGAAGTCTTATTGCTTAATTAATTATTACTTTCTATCCTTATCCATAGCATCTGAAACAATTGTTGTTATTACCTAACATCTACACCAATTCCATACATCCCTACCTTATATATCCTTGTTCACATCAACACAACTCGACTTTTCATTAAACCTTAAAATTAAAGGTATTGATCTGTTTTCTCTAAAAGCGAGTTATTAAACCCAAGCGGTGTTGAGTTATTGGGTTCAATTAGTGAGTTATTGAATTAGTGAATCATTAATTCAATTATATATAAATTTAAAATTTATATTAAAAAAATTATAAACATACTTAAATATCCGTAAAAAAAATACTATTTCAAATATTTTAATATGAAAAATAATAAATCACATATTATTATCCAACAAATGATCAAAAAAACATATAATGCTTGTTATACCGGTTCTTTAGGTTCAGTAGACAATATCTTTAACTATAAATTAAATCAAAATTCTTTATATATTGCATAATCAAGATAATAATAGTATTGTTTGTACATAACCTATATAAGTCAATAAGCAACAAATTAATCAAATATTTGAAAAGAAAATAAACCATTTGTTAATTTAAAAAAAAAATGAAGCCATTAGGGTTAGCCTATGGGGTGAGGGGTGTGGATGGATAAGTGTATTAGGTGTTGTGTGTTCTAGTCTTTTCTCATGTATAAAAAAATGATATCTTTTATAATTTATTTTTTTTGGAATTTTTTTTTATGGACCGGGTCGTACCAATTTTGTTACTTGACCGATCCAACATCAAAATCAGACTAACCGATTTATCAATTTTCGAGCTACCGTCTAAAAGTCAAATATGGAGATGAAAAAGATAGTGATATCGATTAAAGCTTCGAGGTGTTATTATATAAAGAGTAAATACCTTTTTCAGTCTTCAACAAATTTTATGATGCTCATTTTAGTCCCTAGCAAATATAAACGTTATTTGTGGTCCCTAAGGCTTTGTTTGGGAGTTGGTTTTTGGAGGAAAAGGAAGGGAAGTAGAGGGTTTTATTAATCTCTTCTCTTGTTTGTGAGTTTAAAAAATTGGAGGAAGGGAATTAGAGATTTTTGCAAAATCCTCCAAAACCCTTTCCACCCTTAAAATTAAAGTTCACCCAATTTGGGGGGTTTAAGGGGAGAAAATATTAAAAATTACTTATCTAACCTTAGCATTAAAATGTGAAAACTGCATAAATATAAATCATTTTTAAATGCATTATTAGAAAAGTCTAAAATACCGACAAAATTTATGAACGAAAAATATTTTGACGAAAACCACATTACGTTCGAAAATAGAGACGAAAAAAGAATTGGCCATAATCATTGACATAATTTTTTTTCGAAAAAAAAATTCAGTCTAAATTCTTGATAGAATCTAAATTTCGTTGAAACTTTCGACGAAAATATTTTCGTCAAACATTTCAAAGAAAAATATTTCAATCAAAACATTTTGACAAAAAACAATTACGTAAAAATTTTTGTTGGAAAATATTTCCCTCAAATTTTTTTACGGAATACATTTCCAGCAAAAAATTTTGACGAAAAATATTTTCGTCAAAATTGTTTACGGAATCTAAATTCCGTTAAAATATTTCCCTAAAATATTTGACAAAAAAACATGTTCATCGAAATTTTCGACGAAGAATATTTCCTTCAAAATTTTTAACGAAACATATTTTCATGGAAAATTTCGTAAAAAGTTTTGACGAAAAATATTTCTGTGTAAATACTATTTTCGGTCCTCAGCAAATTTTACGATACCCGCTTTAGTCCCTAGCAAATAAAAAGGCTATTCGTGGTCCCTAAGAAATTTAAAGTGGACCTATTTTAGTTCTTTTGATAGACTAATGAAGGTCTTTTTTGAATTTATGAGGGAGCACGATTTCAACTAAATGGTTCTATTTTGAATTTCTTATGGACCACAAATAGCCTTTTTATTTGCTAGGGACTAAAGCAGGCATCGTGAAATTTGGTGAGGACCAAAAATGGTATTTACTCTATTTTTGTAAAAAAAATTTGATGGAAAAAAAATTCGTCAAAATTCTTTACAAAATTTAAATTCCGTCAAAAAAATTTGATGAAAATATTTTCATCGTACATTTGGAAGGAAAAAATTTCCGTTGAAATTTTTGACGTAACACATTTCCATCAAAAAATTTGACAGAAAATATTTCCGATAAAATTTTCAACAAAAAACATGTCTATCATAATTTTCAACGGAACACATTTCTGTCAAAGATTTTCGATGAAAAATATTTTCGTAAACAAATTTGAGAAAAAAATATTTTTGTAAAAAGTTTCGACAAAAAAATATTTTGTCAAAATTCTTTTCGAAATCTAAATTTCGTCGAAAGTTTCGTAGAAACATTTCCCTCAAAATTATTGACAATATTTTTTTCATCGTAACACGTTTTCTAAAAATTTGACGAAAACATTCCATCAAATTTTTTGATGGAATTCTTTTTTTCGCCAAAATTTTTTATGGAACTTTTGTCGTCAAAATATTAAACAAATCATTTTCGTTAAAATTTTTGTCAGAAACTAAATTTCGTCGTAAATTTTGACAAAAATTTAGTTTTGTAAAAAATTTCATCTAATAAAGGGAAGGCAAAAACGAGCCAACCTGTCAGGTTGGCTTGTAACCCGTCACAAATGAGTCGGTTGGGTTGGCATAAATGAGCTGCCAACCCGAGCTAACCCGATCCGATACAATCCGGACAAAAACGAGCCAGCTCACGGGTCAAACAGGTCAGCTCGCGGGTTTTAATTTTTTTTTTTAAAAAAAAAAATACTAAAATCAAAACTGCCCTACGCTTAACGCTACGCATCGTCACTTTCTTTCCTCGTTTTCATAGCCTTGAAGACTGACCAGATTCCGGTGCTTAATGCTGCCAACTGTCTCGAGTTCAGTCTCAAATTCTTTCATGTATTGTGGATAGCGAGAATAGAGCCTCTTGATAGCCAATGGCTTGCAATTCTTAAGAACACATTTATAGACTGCACTTGATGCACCATATCCAATTATATATTTCTCACTCAGGTTTTCTGTCATTCTCATGATATCATCATATACATGAAGTGCCATATTCATGTGAAGAATCACTCACTTTGGTGGTGAGTAATTAACTGTGACTTAAGCGCCAATCAGTAAGCTTATCCTTCAGTTTCAATAAGCACAATTAAGATAGGAAAATATTACTCTCTTTTAGCTTTTCTCATTTTTCCTCACTTCGATTTTCGCACCCCACTTTTTTCTTCTTTTTCTTTTTTTCTTGTAATGGTGGGACCCACCCATTTTCTCTCTACCACATAAGATAACTATCTTATGTGGAAGGAGATTAATAAAACCCATTAAGATAAGTACTTGGTTTGGCAAATGATCCATCATTACAAACGAGATGAAAACGTCAACCCGCGAGCCAACCCACTCACAATATTTTGAGCTAACCTGTAACAGCCCCAAACCCTGTAGCATGATATTGTCCGCTTTGCCCTCGGGCTCACGGTTTTGTTTCTTGGGACACCCCACAAAAGGCCTCACACTAGAAGAGGTATCCACACCCTTATAAGGCATGCTTCGTTCCCCTCTCCAACCGATGTGGGACATTACATCCTCCCCCACTGGGAATACAGCGTCCCCGCTGAACACACCGGTCCAGGGCCAGGCTATGATACCAAATGTAACAGCCTCAAACCCTGTAGCATGATATTGTCCGCTTTGCCCTCGGACTCACGGTTTTGTTTCTTGGGACACCCCACAAAAGGCCTCACACTAGAAGAGGTATCCACACCCTTATAAGGCATGCTTCGTTCCCCTCTCCAACCGATGTAATAACCAACCCGCGAGCTAATCCATTGGCAATATTTCAAGCTAACCCGCGAGTTTATTTTGAGACAACCCATGAGTTTTTTTCCGAGCCAACCCGCCAGCCAACCCTAACCCGGCTCGCGTCGGGCTGGGTTGAATTTTCTTGCTCGTTTTTTTTTTTCGGGCCAACCCTAACCCGACTCGTTTTTTTCGGGTTGAATACGGGTTAGGCCGGGTCGATTAGCCTGTTTTTCCAACCCTATAAAACTTCTGTCGCCTTTCGATGAAAAGCATTCTGACAGAAAAATATTTTTTTGACTGCATTTTTATCGTTTGCAACGTAGAATTTTCGTCGAAAATATGATCTTTTTTAGTAGTGTGAAAAATACATAAATAATTTTGTTTAGAAATATTAAACTTAATTTTATTTTTAAAATGCAATAATTATATTAATTTTTTAAAAGGGTAAAATTATAAAAATATCTCATTGACCCTCCAATTTTTTGCTTACCATTATTTTAACTCCCAAACAAGGGAATAGAATATCCTTCAATTACCTTCCCTTCCTTCCCCTCCCTTCTCCTTGGATCCCCTTCTTTTTCTTTTCCTCAAAACTCTCAAACAAAGCCTGAGAAATTCAAAATGGACTCATTTTAGTTCTTTTAAGGGACAAATGTGGGTCTTTTTTGAATTTATGAGGGATCACGATTTCATCTAATTGAGTCCATTTTGAATTTCACGAATAATCTTTTTATTTGCTAGGGACTAAAACGGACATCATAAAATTTGGAGAGGAACAAAAAAAGATATCCAGGGAGCGTTTGGTACAAGAGAAATTTTTCTTTATCCAGGAAGTAATTATTACTTTTTTTTTTGAATAACCGAAAGTAATTATTATTGAAATGTAGTGAGAAATATATTTTATTGAAATGTTACTAAAAAACTGTTTGGTAGACTCATATTTTCCTGAAAGAATTAAGTTAATTTTAATGAATTTGTGTTAAATTGGTTATGAAATATTAGTGGGAATGTGAGGTTATTTTACCAAAATAACCGCACCTTTACTTTTCATTCAAAAAATTTAATAACGTTACTCATACTCATCGTTCAGGATATCAGATTTGACAATGTTCCCAAAGTCTCATTTACCTTTTCCTTCATCGTTCAGCGTTCTTCAACTAAAAAGATGTAGATATTGTTGAAGCTTCTGCACCAAAGTGCACAAAGTATGACGACATCACTGTTTCCAGTACTGTAGGACCCATAAGGTATGAGGCTGTGTATTTCCTGCCTTGAAAAGGGGGCCATCGGGTCGGAGCAGAGCAAAACTCAAGGAAAACTACCTTGTTTGTTACAATTTAAATCCTTTCTTATTCTCTATTTTAGTTGTACTTGTTAGAATATATTTAGAATCGATCTGATCCGAGGTTTGAGATGGACATTATATAATTAATCATAGGTATCTATGTAATATAATATCTATTTAATTAAAAAAGAATATTTCTTCCCTCCAACATACACCCCCCAATTTGAGGGGAAGAATTTTGGGTTTTAAGAATTAAAGCAAGGGAACACTTATTTCCTTCTCCTCTTTTCCCCCTCTCTCGTTACTCATGTCCAAAAAATAGTGCTTTTGGAATGTATGTATTTGCCTTTACGGTACGAATTTGTAACGATCTTTGCATACGAGAATCACAATAATTAGCAAGAGGACGAGCACAATAATGGAGCGGTCCCAAAATACAGAGCGCAAAGCAGTTGTCTCAAAAGAGTGGCATAGGTTACTGGTTGAATTGTGATGCGAGACCTCCACTCGCGAAGTGATATGGAGAGATCACAGGACAATGATCATATTGACACTAGGCAAAAATTTATCGGATTGCTACATCCGGAAATTTTTTTGTCAAAATATCATGTCACAATCCCGTTGATCTGACAAGCGAGAATGGATTGGACATGTGGCAGCATTATCAACATTTGCCACGTCCTAGCGAGAATAATAAAATGCTGACACGTGACAAAAGTACATGCATTGTCTGCAAAAGTACATAATGCCTGTACTTTTGCCACATGTCAGCATTCTGTCATTCTCGCTGGACTGTCCAGCTAGAATGGTAAACCATTCAGACGCTGTCACGTATCTAATCCATTCTCGCTTATCAGATCAACGGGATTATGATGTGGTATTTTGACAAATTTTTTTCCAGACATAACAATCTGATAAATTTTTGCTTAAGGAGTGTCAATTTGGTCAATGTTCGAGAGATCACCATCTAGCAACTTCCTCCTTAAGTTACATATATTTGGCAATGGCAAGGTGGAATGTGCCACCTATTGTGGCTGAATTGACACGTCAACTTATTTATTTATCAAGTCTTCATTGAAAGGGTGTGTTATGTTGTACCAATACTGACATGGAATACGATACGACACAACACTCCAACACATTAATTCTAAAAAATATTAAACTTCGACATGTTATGACACGTTTTGATATTATATAATATTTTTAATTTATGTAGTATATATTATATTTAATATTCAATAATTTAACAAAAAAAGTAATGCTAAACTTATAACACCTATCAATTTTGCAAAGATGCATAAGATATTCCAAATGTTTATATTAAACTCAATAAAATAATAATCGTAATCCAACAAATCTAATAGTTGAAACTCAAAATGCAACGCAAAGTAACCTTTAATTTTTTTTTTAAATCTTTGCAACGAGTATATTGAAGTGTCAAAAAATATGAGTAAATGTCGAGAAATGTTGGACACGAGCACGTCAAAATTTTGGAAACATCAGTTTCGTGGAGGGTGTGGCATCAAATCCGCATCTATATTTTAGCTTTCTAGTCTCAGGTCTCGCATCAGCATACACCTTAAAACTAATATGCTATCTGCATAAGATCTAAACACCCTGGTACATAATTGAAAATCTTAACACAGTTTGTGTCGATGTTGAAGGTGAAGATAACCTCTAAAGCCCACACTATTTCAAGCAATAAAAGATTAAGATAAATTTATAGTTACAACGATCTTCTCGATGCCCCTAGTTACTAGTCAGAAGGAAAACCACCTGAGACCATATTATACGGCTAGAAGGCTAAACCATGTAGTTCACATAAACTGAAATCGCATTAAAAGCTTTACAGATTTTAGTTTCTCGCCCTTCTGATCATATAGTGGGACTGACCGGAATCCAGATCTCAGCTCAGAGACTGGCAAACACGTTTGCCCGCCAAAGTCATCCTTTTCATGTTTATCATACTCTCTAACTTCTAGCCGGAGCAAAGCGAGTTCTGGAACTGTCAAAGGAAATTCAAATTCCTCGTCCCAGACAGGAAACCAATTATCTTGAATTACGCTGGTCTTCTTATTGGCTTTATCAGCTGGTACTCCAACAATGCAAACCTGTCATATAAATTCATCAAATGCTAAATATAATATCATTTTATTTCTCGTAGATAAGCACAATTACACAATTAACTCTTCAAATTCTAGCCATTATCAAAAACGAATTAGCACAATCTCGAAACTATATATAGTCTGATATTGAAGATATAAACATCCCACAGAAATTGTGAAATACAGTTGTCGAAGATGAAGATAACTTTTACCAATAATTTTAAAAAACTCTCAGCCAAGTAATTAGTTAGAGGTGTATCTATCACTATTCAAACATGAAAACTAAGCCAATATTCAAGTCCAATTGCAAAAAAATCTCAGCACAACTAGAAAAGTTCAATGATGTCCACTGGCAGAATACTCTTGCTAATCTGCAATATTAACAAAATGATCCAACTCACCTTTGTGTAAAAGTCTGGTGGAGAGAACGTATCAAAGTGAGTTTTGCCGAAATCTGAGCTCCACCCGTTTCCCATATATACTTTTACCTATAGGTAGACGAGAAAAGATCAAAATATGTTCCCAAATTCATCGACTTCCTTTTATAATAATATATCACCTTTAACGTCTTCTTGACAGGCAATGTTCTTTTAGGATCAAAAACCTCATTATGTGGACCTTTTTCTATTAGAAATGCAGGCTTTTTCACATAACCGCATTCTCCATTTGCTCTAAACATCCCTTGCATGAACCAGAGTGATTTTCCGTACCCCTGATAAAAAAGAAAAACATATGCTAAAATGTTAGTATCAAGGATGCACTAAATAAAATAACTTGAAAAGCAGGATCTTACTACATATTATTAACAAAATAGTAATACTACCATAATAAGAAATTTTTCATATGGAACATTCGTGATGAAGGAAATCAATTTAGCATTAGTGTTGGTGTTTCAAGGCTGCTGTTGATGTCCTATTTTTTAGGAGTTAATTAGTTGTTTTTTAAATTGATTAGTCTTTTGTTTAGGAGTTTGTTTACTGCATTTTACTGTTAATGCTTTGTTAGTTTGTTGCTGATTTTGTGGACCAACAAAATCAGCTGGTTAGTAGCAACTGCATGAGCTCAGTTTTGTATTTAAAACAAGTTCATTAGTCAGAATAAAAAATAAGCTGTTGCACAATATTGTTTCTGATGTTTGTTTTTCTCATAAAAGATCAACATTGGTATCAAGAGCCTTCTTGATCTTAAGGGGCTGTGAGTGACTTGAGAAATTAATGGAGGGAGGATCGAGTGGTTTTTCAGCAATGGCTCCACCAATATTCGATGGAGAAAATTATTAAGCATGGGCAGTGAGAATGCAAGCCTATCTAGAGGGTTGTGATTTTTGGGAAGCTGTAGAACAAGATTATGAAGTTGCTCCCCTTCCTGATAATCCAACCATCAATCAGATCAAGTTTCATAAGGAGAGGATAACAAGAAAAGCAAAGACAAAGTTTTGTTTATATGCTGCTGTCTCACCTGCCATTTTCAGCAGAATTATGGCTTGTGAATCAGCTCAAGCTATTTGGGACTTCCTCAAAGATGAGTATAAAGGAGATGAGAGGATTAGAAGCATGAAGGGGCTGAATCTAATCACACAATTTGAGAGATTGCAGATGAAGGAGTCTGAAACAATTAAGGAGTATTCTGATAAGTTGGTAAATATTGCAAATCAAGCAAGAGCTCTAGGCACTGACCTCTCTGATAATAGGCTAGTGCAAAAGGTTCTTGTCTCCTTGCCCGAAAGGTTTGAAGCAACCATTGCATCTTTGGAGAATACCAAGGATTTGTCTCAAATCAAGTTGGCAGAATTTTGCTAAGTGCTCTGCAAGCACAAGAGCAGAGAAGGTTAATGAGGCTTGAAGGAAGTACAGAAGGAGCTTTGCAGGCTAAAGAACAGCATAATGTAAGATGGAAGAAAGGAGATGACAGTAGTGGTTCAGAAGCTGCTGCAGGAGAGAACAATGCAATCAACTCTAAGAACAATTGGGGCGAGCATTCCTCATGTAAGCATTGTGGAAAGCAGAATCACCCACACTTCAGATGTTGGAAGAGGCCAGATGTGAAGTGCAGAAAGTGTCATAGGCTTGGACACATTGAAAGGTTCTGCAAAGAAAAAGGAGATCAGCAGCAAGGTGAGGCACATGTTGCAGACCAGCATGAGGCAGATCAATTATTTGCTGCCTCTTGTTTCTCCTCTAGTGCTCCATGTGATAGTTGGCTTGTTGATGGTGGTTGCACAAATCACATGACAAGTGATGAAAAGCAATTTAGAGACCTTGACAAGTCATTGCAGTCAAGAGTGAGAATTGGAAATGGAGAGTATCTAGAAGTGAAAGGTAAAGGGACTGTAGCAATAGAGAGCTATGCTGGAACTAAGCTGGTTTCTGGTGTGATGTACGTGCCTGATATTGATCAGAATTTGCTGAGTGTGGGGCAGTTGGTAGAAAAGGGATTTAAAGTGATATTTGAAGAAGGGAAGTGTTTGATCTTTGACTCAAATGGTCAGGAGTTGTTCAGAATAAAGATGCAACAGAAGAGTTTTTCTCTAAACCCCCTTGAGAAGGAGCAAACGGCATTCAAGTGTCAGACTAGTGATTCAGAAATATGGCACAAAAGGTTGGGGCATTTTCATTACAAAGGCTTACTATTCATGCAGAAGAATGAAATGGCAACTGGGTTACCAATCCTGGAGGAGCAGATCACAAGGTGCAAAGCTTGTTTTTTGGGCAAACAGACAAGATTTCCTTTCAAAGAATCCACCTGGAGAGCTACAAAGAAGCTACAACTAATTCATACAGATCTTTGTCCAAGTGAACTGCATATGGTAGCTGCAAAAAGGGTGTTAAGGTACTTGAAAGGTACTCTTTCATATGGAATCAAATTCTGCAGAATTCAGAAGTTTAAGTTGCAAGGGTATTCTGACAGTGACTGGGCTGGATCAGTGGATGATATGAAAAGTACTTCGGGTTATTGTTTTACATTTGGGTCAGCTTGTTTTTCTTGGCTTTCAAAGAAGCAGGAAATAGTGGCCCAATCAACTGCAGAAGCTGAGTTCATTGCAGCTACTGCAGCTGTAAACCAAGCATTATGGTTGAAGAAGCTGATGGATGACCTGCATTTGGAGCAAAAAGAAGGCATATAAGTATTTGTGGATAATCAAGCTGTTCTAGCTATTTCACAGAATCCAGTATTTCATGGAAGAACAAAGCATTTTAAGATCAAGTATTATTTTTTGAGAGAAGTGCAGAAGGCTGGAGAAGTGAAGCTAATGTACTGCAGTTCAGAAAACCAAATTGCAGATATATTCACCAAGTCATTTCATGTTAGTCGATTTGAATTTCTCAGGGAGAAGCTAGGAGTGTGCAGCACTTGATCCAGGAGGAGAATGTTGGTGTTTCAAGGCTGCTGTTGATGTCCTATTTTTTAGGAGTTAATTAGTTGTTTTTTAAATTGATTAGTCTTTTGTTTAGGAGTTTGTTTACTGCATTTTACTGTTATTGCTTTGTTAGTTTGTTGCTGATTTTGTGGACCAACAAAATCAGCTGGTTAGTAGCAACTGCATGAGCTTAGTTTTGTATTTAAAACAAGTTCATTAGTCAGAATAAAAAATAAGCTGTTGCACAATATTGTTTCTGATGTTTGTTTTTCTCATAAAATCAACAATTAGTAGTGATTGTTACAACTACCACTATAATCATATGTAACAAAAAATTAAATGAATGTAGGCACAACAACTTAGAAATATCAATTCAATGTTCATTTGAGATTGCTCTACAATAGAAAATAGCCCTAAGATGTAGCCATGCTTCATTAGTTTCCTAACTGAAAGTCCACATACACAAAAAGATAAACTGTACTAAGAAAATTTTCATATGGACCATATGCAATAGAGTGCATCAAGCCTGGAAATAGAAAACACTAAGATAAACCTTTTATATGAAAATAGCCTTGGTCATAAGTCGCTGACCTGCATGTTAAATGCAACCATCTGAGCACCATATGTCCACCCTATATGTGGCCTGTAATTTGATGAGGTGACACGTGTTCCCTTTGGATAAACCCTGAGAATATTCTTCTGTGTAAACCTGGAAGCATAAAATGCAACCATCTTAGGTGGTTGTCAAGTGTAAACTATAAAGTGTAAATATATTTGCAGTTACCACTAAATAGGTTCGAGTGTTTAAAAAATACCTAACGATATCAGCTCCATAAGAGGCAGAAGCCTTTTCAAGTTCCTGTTCGCTCATGCTCAAGCGCTTAACATCCCCAACAACTTTTAAGTGGTCCTTTATTTGACCCTTCGGTTTTCCAGCATGGATTGTAATCAAACGTTTGTACCCAGGGGCACTCGGCTGGTCTGATTTTTTATCACGAGCATACAAACCTTCCTCATCGTGATCACATTCATTGATCTATACAGTTAGGGGGGAAAGGTGAAATGAGCATGCAGAGCTATTAAAATATAAATCAAATTTGAGAAAAATTATGTCTCTCCGCTCACCCTGTCGTCAGCTTCCACTTCAGTAATAAGGCATGGCGATGATGATCCTTCTTCAGCCAATTCCTTTTCACTCTCGCTGTCCTTGAATTGCTTGATTTCAAGATATTCTTTTGGTGGTTTAGTTGATATAAGAATTCGATCTTTCAATGATTCTGGTGTGGGGAATTCTGTCAGAGGATCTGTCTGAGGATAATAGAGCATATCTCCAAATATTTGAGTTGTCATCTACAAATATAAAGGAATTAAATTCCCACTCAATACCTAACAAAATAGGGACTTGAAGTAGATCTATTTTTTCGGGAAAGGAAGAAGGGAGTGTGGAGAAGTAATAATGGATGCTTACCTCTGCAACTTTAGCTTGAAGATCTGGAGTAAGGTGGTCTTCTAAAGTTATAATGACTGGGTAATGAGATTTAACAAAAGCATACTCTTTTATGGACTTCAAACATTGGATGAGTGAGACAGGAGTGGTAAGTGTCCTGTAATATTTCAGAAAAAATTTCTAAAGCAAATGGATTTATAAAAGTTGCACAATGAGTATCTTAAAAAACTACTCGATCAAAAGACATAAAAAGGCATAAATCATCAAGCTCTACAAGATTGAACCCAGGATCAGCACCTTCCATGAACTACAACGATATCATCTTTAGTTGAATTTGGCCATAAATCTAGTTCAATTACTCGCACACCTCTTTGCAAAGCCTTTATGATTGGCACATCACTGCAATCGCTGCTCAGCTGATTCCCAGTCAGATAGGAATTGTGCCCTGTATATATGAAATAATGTGATAACGGAGCATTCATATCATGATGTACCTGGGCATGACACATCATTCGTATTGTCAACAAGAGACCTAAAACATTCCTAAAAATAACACCACTAACCATAAACTTGATATTGTCTTTAACCAATTCTTAAGCCCTTCTTCTATATATTTATTTTTCCTGTTTTATCTCCAAGACTAAAAAAATTGGCTTTAACAAATATATGTGTATCGAGAATAAGTTCTAAACACTACCAATACATGCATACATACAAATAAAAGCTCTGAAGTCTCCTGATTGTGAAAATCACTTTTATAATAAGTTATTGTACTTCTCTTTTCTCAAGTCAGGAGTTAGCATCTCTGAAAATTTCAAAAAAAATCCGTAACTTTTCTCGTATTCATTTACCTCATCACTAAAATTTTGAATCATTTATTTCTTGATTTAATTTTTTTTTATCATTTATCCCCCTCATTTATTTAAGTAAGGGGTAAATGATAAAAAAATTTTTAATTAAAGGTATAAATAAGTCAAAAAAATTTGTAAGGAGAATAAGTAATAATTAAGAAAATTCGTAAGATTTTTTTTTATAAGTTTTCCCTTAACAAACAAGTGGTTACACTATTTGGATATCTTAAGAAAACTATCGCATCACGAAATGATTTACTTTTGTGTGTTTTTTTTTTTTTAAGAAATAAGTATTTTTAATTAGAAAATGTTTAATTTTTTTAAAATATGAAATAACTTTTTAAAAAAATAAAAAACTTGTAACAAATTAATAATTTCTCACAAAAATTAAAATAATTAACTTAAAAAACCTTTTAAAAAAGTTATATCAAATTCTTTTTTTTTTTTCTTTTTTATAATATATCCAAATACATTGTTTATCTAACTTTGTACCAGATTTTCCGTAAAAACAAACAAGACGGTTAAGAAAAAGCACACCTGGGATTTCAGGGGACCGTTGAAATCATCGAAGAACAAGAAATGGAAGAACTCGTCGAGGCCGAGTCCCTGTCCGTTACTATGGTGGACGTCATTGGAGTTGCACTTGGCAGTGTCGCTTTCCTGATTCCGAATCCGCGATTGCAAAACGTTCTCGATGAGCTGGTTCGAATCCTCTGCGGTGCAGTCCAGTTCGCCTTGGTGGTCCAGCAGGAAGCACCGGAGCTGGTCGGCGGACATGGAGGGGGAGCCGTCGGCGAACTTGGAAAATGCTTCCTTGACGTCCGGCGTGGGTGCCTGCTCGGCGATGGTGAACTTTCTGGCGAAGCCCGTGAACATTTTGTAGGTGAAGGTGGCCATTGTCGGAGTTGAGATCCAAGACTTGAATCAAAGGTGACGTCACTCTCCGATTCGATACGATAACCCTTACAGTGAAAGGATTCAGAGAGAAATAAGAAAGAGGAGAAGAAGAGAGAAAGTGATTAGCGAGGAAATGAATGGACGAAGCTTTTGAATACGGAGTTTGAGAGAGAGAAAGAAAGAACCATAAATGGAATGCGGATGAAGCGGGATCGTTCGTTGGACTTGCACGTAAAATATGTTAATAGAATATTTAACTTTCTTTTTCTTTCTTTTTTAAAAGAAAAGCCTGACAATTATTTTAACACAAAAATATTTTTGTACTTAATACAGATAAATTATTTGCATTCATTTCCATAACAATATCATTTTGGGATTGAAAGATTAAAAAATTATAATTATAAAAACTATGTCTATAATAACCCTAGAATAAGTTAAAATTACAAAAACACAATGATTTTCGTTTCAAAACGACATCGTATTAGACTTTCTGCAATGACTACAGAAAAAACGAATCCTTATTTGAATTACTTTGTTTCCTTTGTTGTGTTTGATGTTTGTCATTTTAAATGATATAAATTATGTTATTTTAAGAGAGATAAACACAAGTAATGAAAATCATGAGAGAAAAAGAGAGTAATTTTTTTAATTTAAATTTTAAATAAAAAATATTATTTTATGTTTATATTTCTCTTAAAATGACATAATTTTATGTCATTTAAAATGAGAACTTTTTTTCCTTATTTTTGTTTGCAAATATATGCCGCAGAGACACCTAATTTTCCGACAAAAAGTTCTTCTATCTCATATTCACGCCTTTTGGACCATTAAAAAACAACATAAATTTTTTACATGTATAATTGAGAAATGAAAAGATAATAAACTAAATCAACATGGATGATATGGACTACGGATGGTGAATATTATGAAGCAGGGTTGGAGAAGCCCAGTCTGCCATTTAGCCCACTTTGTAATCGGACAGGACTTTGGGCCTACGCATCAGTCTTCTCGGTCTACTCAGCTACCCCAACTTCCCCAAGGAAAAAAACAAAAAAAAATTATTTTCATTCATTGACTTTCAATATGGCTATTAAAAACTTGAACATTTTCGGTTGAAAAGTTTTTCTGAAATATAATCCGCGTAATACAATGCAGCACCTTTAAAGCAATTATCAATCATTCGTATGTTGCATGTCTTGTTTCATTTCGAAGTGGAACCTTAAGCAAGAGGGTAAGATGCTCGCTCACATCGGTTGCATAAAAGTAACGTATATTAGATGGATAGACTAAAAGATGCGTGAAATGCATCATGCTATTGCTGCCTCGGTGGACTAGAGATGTTTGTACTCTATAAAAATTAAAGGATAAATCCAGAAAAATATTGCTTATATTATATTAGATGATGACTAATCAGCCGAAAGCATCCTCTTCAGTCTTCTTGGCATGTGATTGTCACAATTTTTATACGAAGAAAGTTTATTTGAGTTGCTTTATACTAGGCATTAGCATGCAGGTGGTCCTTTTCAATTATAAAATAGCTTCCCCAAATGTTATCAAAAAAAAAAAAAAAAAATAGCTTCCCTAATTAGGACGTGAGAGGAAGAAGCACATTCTCAAGAATATAATTACACTCAGTTGGCTAGTTTTATGGTCCATGGGGGAATATTTACCCCACAAGATGAACGACTAGAATATGAATCTATGGTTTGAGGCTTTTCCCTTGATGAATATAAATTTTAAGGATTTAATATTTCTGATGTTGTAGGAGATAAATTTATCTCTTACACATATATAAAAATATATGAGATTCATGTGAAGTCATCTGAGGAGAAGAGAGACAAAGAAAAAATATAGATCGTAGACATGTAGGAGATAAATTTATCTTCTAAAAATAAATTTATCTTATACAACATAAGTAATATTAAACCCAAATTTTAAATACTCGTCAAGTGAGGCTTGAATGCTTCTTTACTAGATATTAATTTAGGAAAAATGTGTTTATATTGCTATATTTTGAATGTGACAGATTTTTTGACGAAGGTGTCAAACTTTTTAGTTTGATACACATCAAATTTTAACCGTTGATTTTCGTTAATCTGATGGTTATAATTTATTGGATCAAACTTATTAATTGATTAGTAATTTCTAATAAATTATAACTATTGATCCACGGCAATCAAGTTAGAATTTGGTATCAAACTTTTTAATTTGACACTCCTCTTGGATATTTCACTTTTCTTGTATAGTCAGAATGGCAGATGCTGTGCAAGACTGCTAGGCAGCAAAGACCCGTAAATTTTCATAACATTGAAAGCTATATGACAATTGACAAGTATGGTTAGCAATCATCTGGTTCAAGCTCCGTGATGTTTAGAGTTGAAGATATCATGTAAGGCTGCAAAGTCCTATTAGTGTTTCAAAGTCCTATTAGCCCTAAACTACTACTAAAATTTATCATTATAAACACGAGGGACGTATATCCTAGATGAATTATCTCTACAATTCATTCAAACCGAAACCGCATTAAAAGCTTTACAGATTTAAATTTCTCTCCTTTTTCGTTATACAAAGGGACTGAACGAAATCCAAGTTTAAGCTCTGACACTGGCAAACACGTTTGCCCAGCAAAGTCATCCTTTCCCTGATCTTTGTCCTTTACTTGTATCCGAAGCAAAGCAAGCTCTGGAACAGTCAAAGGGAATTCAAACTCTTCATCCCAAACAGGAAACCAGTTGTCCATGATCACCTTTGTTTTCTTCTTTGCACAATCAGCAGGCATTCCAACAATACAGACCTGTTACACAAACTGGTCAAACAGTGACATACACAACAATATTTTTCCTTTCCTTTTCTTTTTTTATCTGGTGAAAATAACTCTTAAAGATTCCCGGTTGTGAGGGAGTAGAGTAACGTCAAAAAGTTAAAAATTTAAGAGCTCAAATATTTTATGTGCATTGCACATGAATCACGAAAGGGCAATAGCAATTCAGTGAGAAATAAGCCAATTATATTAGCTGTAGTTGTAGAGGTAATAATATTCAAGATCAATGATGAAGCATAACAACTGTGCCCAACATCAAATTAAATGGTAAAAGATCACTTATGCAAAGAAGGTCTCCTATTTTTATAGAAATTGTTGTTATAAAGCCTGCGGATAATATATCAAGAAATATCCAACTGACCTTTGTGTAAAAGTCTGGCGGAGAGCACATATCGAAGTGTGTAGGACTGAAGTCTAAGTTCCAGCCATGCCCCATGTATACTTTTACCTGTTATTGGACATGACAATGTAACATTTAAATGTCACCAAACAAATGAATTTACCTTGTAGTATTGAGTGATATATGCTTGCCTTTAATATTTTCTTCTCTGGTAGTATCCTTGTAGGATCAAACTCATTGTCGCATTGCTGTTTTTGCATTAGAGTTTGAGGCTTTTTAACATAACCACATCCTCCATTTGCCCTGAACATCCCCTGCATCAACCAGAGAGGTTTCCCATGCCCCTGTTGGGGAAGAAGACAAGTGCTAGAACCGTTGAAGGTTAGAATTCCTAGCAAAGATATAGTAACTTGCAAATGAATTTAATGCATTTGTATTTTGAAATAGCCTCCAAGGCAATACATTTTCTAACACAAAGTGTCGCCAATAATCTTGTTGGTATATTGGCACTGTAATAGACATCAACCCATTTATCTTTCAACATGCATATTAGGTTGTTGCTCCACAATAGAAAACAACTGAAATATGTTACTCAGGTTTGACAAGGTTCCTTACTACATTATTCCGTGAAAAGAAACACAGCCAGACATACACAAATATAAATTCTAAAAAAAGAAAGTTTTCCTTTTATTTGAAACACTTGGCCTTGGTTACAGTTCCTAACCTGCATATTGAATGCAACCATCTGAGCCCCGTACATCCATCCAATATGTGGCTTGAAATTTGTGGATTTGACACGCATTGCCCTTGGGTATACCCTAAGGATATTTTTCTGTGTGAACCTGGAAGAAGAACAATTTGAATCACATGAATCATGAGATAATTACCTAGGCGTAGTGTTAAGTTATAACTAAGAAATGGGATTAAAATAAAGGCCTAAAATTCACATCTTGTAAACTAATAAAAGAAACGGGCAGGAAGAGGAAATAAGAGAGTCACGGGACATTGTTAGATATGAGAGCGTGGTAATTTTAGCAGCTATTATCATCAGTTAAGCTTACAAGTACCTAACAATGTCTGTTCCATGAGATTCTGAAGCCCTTTCAAGGGTCTTCTCACTCCAACTTAGGCGTCTAAGTTCACCTTCAGTTTTCAATTTATCCTTCAGGCTACCCTTGAATTTCTTATTATGGATTGTAATTATGTGTTTGTATTCAGGTGAACGTTCCTGATATGATTTGTGATCACAGTCACATGAAGTTATGTCTCCCTCGTCACTATCGCTTCCGTTCTGCTATACATGAAAAGAAGTAACATAAGCACACTAAGCTTATTAATTTTATTGCAAAATATATGAATACATATCTCTGTCTCACCTTGCCCGCAGTCTCCACTTCAGTCCTGGGGTCTGGCGATTCCTTTTCCCATGATTCTTCTTCAGATGATTCACTTCCATTCCGCATAGGACAAACGGAGTTATCCTTGATACCATTGGACTCAAAACATTCTTTTGGGGGTTTGGTTGATATAACAACCCGATATTTCAATGATTCAGGTGAAGGGAATTCTGTTAAACAATCTGATTGAGGATAATAAAGCATATCTCCAAATATTTTAGTAGCCATCTGCAAGAAAAATAAAATAAAATGATATCATGATTAGAAAAGGAAAAGTAAAACAAAATAGTAATTCCAACTTAGCTAGATTGATCTTTGTGGGGAGAGGAAGGGATCAAGTGGAAGTGGATGCCTACTTCTGCAAATTTAGCTCGAAGATCTCTTGTAAGATGATCTTCTATAGTTATGATCACTGGATACTGAGATGCACCAAAACCATATTTCTTTATAGACTCAAGACATTTGATAGGTGAGACAGGCTGGGTGAGAGTCCTGCATTGATTCAATGGGATAAAAAAAAATAAGTTTTGCCTTAACATTAATTAGATCATGTAAAAAAAACAATTATATTCTTTTCCCCTATAATCAAAATGAACTCTAAAATGGACTTCTTCATCTGCTTCCTGTACCATCCATGATCTACTTTAATATCATCTTTATTAGAAGTTGGCCATAAATCAAGTTCAATAACACGCACGCCTCGTTGCAAAGCCTTTATGATTGGTTCTTCGCTGCAATCACTGCTCAGTTGATTCCCAGTCAGATAGGAGTTATGCCCAGTATATATGAAATAATGTGACAATGGAGCACTCATATCATGATGTACCTGGAATGTCATTTATTATTTGCCAGTTAACAAAATAATGTTAAACCAAAGATTGAACTCTGGAATCTCTTATATGATTTATATATCAATCGTTGTAACATCTTAAGGTGAAGTTCTAAGAATAGTTTTGATCTTTAGGTCCATAACCCTTATGCTTGTAAACAAAAGTTCTCTTCACCATGAAACACAAGTTTTCTCGGGAAAGAGCTTACCTCAGCTTTCAAGGGACCATTGAAATCATCGAGAAGCAAAAAACGGAAGATATCATCAAGGGTGATTTCATGTTCTCTACTTTGACCAACATTAACAATTTCCTGTGGCGGCCTTCTCATTTGCAAAACTTTCTCAACAATTTTCTCTGAATCCGATAAGGTGCAGTCCACCTCGCCTTGGTGCTCCACCAGGAACCGGTGGAGCTGCTCCGTTGACATGTGGGACCCTCCTCCGGTGAACTTGGAAAACACCTCCTTGAGGTCCATAGGTGGAACCAGCTCGGTCACCTTGTACTTTCTGATAAAGAGAAAGAAACTTTTATACTTGGTGTAGGTTGCCATGTTATTACCCATCCCTTTCTGCTTCTCACTGTGTTCCTCTAAAGCTTTTCAGACAGATGAGAGGTTACGGACCAAAGCATGCATTTATAATGTATGAACTGAGGGTCAGAGGGAGAGAATTGCAAGAACATTCGATGAGGAATCTGTCTCTGTGCTAGATGCTATGTTTCTGTCTTTATTATTAAAATAAAAATATAAGTGTTCTATCCTCTATGTTAATCATCATAACTAACAGGAAATAAATGTTCATATTATTCAAGAGTTAAGACCATTACTCTTTTTTACTGTGATTTAATAAGGTATTACAAATAAGTCAAGCCAACAAATTGCAAAATTAACCTCTTTCAAGTTGCCATGTTCTGCGTTGAGCCAAACTGAATGAGTTTTGTTACTGTAGGTAAATAATGAAAGATGTATAATACACAAAAAGTTATATATCTTACGCATTATTAGATTTCTGATTTAATTTTGATCCAAAAATATCTTAGGCTAGCATTGATCAAAATGAAACTCATTTAGAATTCAATTATGTATCTGCAAGATTACATCAATAGCTTTTTCTTTTTCTTTTTTATCTGATTCATATAAAAGTTAATGACTCTACACATAATTGAACTTCTTTGACCCCCTCCCTAGAAAACAATTATGCATTACGTTAAGCTGTACAATTACAATAAAAGGTAGAGCGTATAGCATCTGGTGCTATGACTGGCTTTCACATTGAGTAATAATATATTACCCAAAAAACAGAACGACATTGACTTATAGAAAAGCCAGGGACTCAGGTTCAGGGCATGGATTTTTTTAAGTATTGTGCACATGTTTCTCTTTTCAGGCAATATTTGTACACACCACCACGCGTGAATTATATTAATATATTCAACAGTAGCAATGGATTCATTTAATTTGAAGTTTATACGTGTTGATTCTTTTCTCTTTATTTTGTACACTTTTCTTTACTTTCATGATCAACTCTCTTATAATCGTACTTCTTTATCAGAAGTAACTAAGGCCTTCTACCAAGCATCTTCTTATGAAGCTTTTCTCTGTTTTGTGCCGCTGGTCTTGCAAAGTTTGAATCTGATATGGATAGCTCTTTTGTAGAGTTATGTTGTTTCTGCGTTATTTGTCTTATAGTCGGGACTCCACTAACTTATTCATATTCCACCGACACTTTATTCTCATCTTTAAGGTCGATGATGGATGGTTGAATATAAAAGGGCTAATCCCGCAAGAGAGTCTTTTTTTCTAGCCATCCAAAACCGTGGTACTATTTATTTTTTTTCAGTAAAGTAACTTTTTAATTCCTAACAAAAAAAATAAATACTTGTTACCACTTTCGTCCCTTACAAAAAATAATAATTTATATTAGTCATTTTTTAAGGACTAAATTGGGTCTTCATTAAATTTGTGAAGAACCATATTTTCAAAGAACTAGAATTGTAGAGGGACCAAAAATTTAGTTTTTTTAGAGGTGGTAATATGGGTTGAACCCGATGGGTCAACCCGCCAAAACGAGACAGATTAGGTTACACATCTTAACCCACCAACCCACCTCAACCCGCCCCGTCGGGTTGTGGGTCAAAATGGGTTGGCAGCGGGTTGGCCCGCCGGGTCAGTTTTTTTTTTTTACTACTAGATAGTATTTTATTTAGAGTTTGATGTTTGTCATTTTAAATGATATAAGTTATGTAATTTTAAAAGAGATAGACACAAGGAATGAAAATCATAGGGGAGAAAGTGAGTGTTTTTTTTAATTTAAATTTTAAATAAAAAATAATATTTTGTGTCTATCTCTATCTTAAAATGACATAACTTTATGTCATTTAAAATGATAAATATTTTTTCCTTTTATTTATCTTTAAGCTTTTGCAATATCCAATTTTTTTTTATCTTAGCACTATCTAGAAAAAATAGAGAAGAAAATCTTTATTTATGAAAAATATTATCTAAATACGAAGACAAAAATAAGTTCCTAAAGAATGTTTGATTGAATATTAACACATATTTAGACTTGAGATTGAAAAAAAGTAAGAGAAGTGTGAAATAAAAATAATTAATATTATAAAATTAATAAAATATAATTTTTTTTACTTTTAATATTTTTTTTTAGGTGGGTTCACCCGTCAATCCATCATAAAACGGGGTGAGTTGGAGTTTTTAACCCACATTTAAGCGGCGGGTTGGAGTGGCCCAACCCCTTTTCGAAGGGTTGATGACGAGTTGGGGCGAGCTGATCCGTTTTTCCATTCCTATTTTTTTTATAAAAGACAAAAGTGAAAACCGTATTTTTTATTAATAAGACTTTTTTTTTTTTAATATGTGATGGCCCCACCACATGTCTCCTCAATAATAAATAAAGACTCTCCTAAGGGGAAAAATCTAATATACTAAGAATGTATGTCCTACAATCCAATAAAAGCACGTCTCCTCTTTTTACAAAAAATAAAAAATAAAAAAATTGTGTCCCCTTAGCTGCTAGTGTATTGAAGAAAGAAAAGAAATAGCGACTTTTTTGTTTTACATTATATACTACCAGTAATACATGTGCTTATCGGAGAGTCGATTAGCCCTAACCCCAATATAAAATAAGAACACCATTTTTAGGTTCTCTTTATTTCCAACTGTGAGGACTTAATTTCCTTTTAAAACTTGGATGATTACTGATTGAGCTCATAATGGATCTCATGCACTAATCAAACTAATCTTGCTCCATTTTCAACCCATCTTAGACATAACCAACACATCGTGTACATACATCTAACAAGAAATACTCTCCCGGACAGAAGTTGTATGAACCAAGTGCCACAAAATGTCCAAGTCCAACAACAACGTTTAAACTTGATAAATCTAAGGACTGGAGATCCACATATCTGAAATGAGAAAATTTCAAATATTTACAGACTTAGAGACGAAATGAAAGAAATTATAACAACACAAATAACAACCTTGTCCAATAATATGAATTTTAAAAACTAAACCTTTGTTCAATAACAAATAAGATAAAATAGTAAAAATAAATCATATTATTTAAAAATGAACTTAAATATTCAACTAGCATCATATATACATTACTACATATTTTATATTTATAAACAAACACTTATAGACATATATACGTAAAATTACTACTATATACCTATAGTACATAATTAACTATGTACCTAATTTAGTATTTGTGTGGAAATATTTTTATACCATGATTCATGATCATGATCCCCTTCTAAAGGTATCCCAATGTTCTTTACATGGTATCAGAGCCTCGTCGTCTCCCACTTTCTCTTGTGGCGTTTCTTACTGTTGCATTGTCCACTCTTCAAGCCCAATGAGCTCTCGTGTGAGGGGGCGTGTTGAGATATATAGTCCCACATTGGTTGTATGTGCAACTAATGTTGAGTTTATAAGGCCTTCGGCACTCCCACCGTTTGAGCTAACTTTTGGGGTGGTGTATCTCAAGGTTCTTTACATGGTATCAGAGCTTGAGGTTCGATCCTCACCGCCCCCACTTTAAAGTGGAAGCACAAAAAAGGTAAACCAAAGATTGCTCCACATTAGTTGCTCTTCAACCAATGTGAGGCTATATATCTCAACATGCCCCCTCACGCAAGAGCCCTCTTGGCTTGAAGCGTGGATTATGCAACAGGCCCAATCTTTGGTTTACCTTTTTTTGTGCTTCCACTTTAAAGTGGGGGCGGTGAGGATCGAACCTCAAGCTCTGATACCATGTAAAGAACCTTGGGATACACCACTCCAAAAGCTAGCTCAAAGGGTGGGAGTGCCCAAGGCCTTATAAACTCCACATTAGTTGCTCTTCAACCAATGTGGGACTATATATCTCAACACGCCCCCTCACGCAAGAGCCCCTTCGGGCTAGAAACGTGGAATTGCACAGGTCCAATTTTTGGTTTACCTTTTTGTGCTTTTTTTATTTTATTTTTAATTCCACTTGAAAGTGGGGGGCCGTGAGAATCGAACTTGTAACCTTTTAGTCACTCAAGCTCTGATACCATGTAAAGAACCTTGGGATACACCACCCCAAAAGCTAGCTCGAAAGGGTGGGAGTGCCCAAGGCCTTATAAACTCAACATTAGTTGCACATACAACCAATGTGGGACTATATATCTCAACAAAAGGTGAGTGAATCCAACATAACCACTATTGAAATTTGTGATACTACTGTCGGCAACAGTAACATTCTTTCAGCTCAATTTGTAAGATAAATGAAGGGTGGGGCGAGTCCCCTTGGGATAAGTTGATAACAAGCCAGCACCATCTGATACTAAGGTTAAGGTTTCATGTGATTCATGCCAATGATTCTAGACTCTGCTAGACTGCTACTCAAAGCTCAAAATCACCCTCTTTCTTCTTCTTCTTCTTCCCTCTACACCTTTTTCAGGAATGGGTGAGGATTTGGAGGGATTGGCCTAAAAAGTGCATTCAAATATAGAGGTAGAATTAAATTTGCAGGTATGCTTTCACTAATTAAAAAGTTGAAAAATTCATAAAACTTTGGCATGATTTTGCATCAGCTGGCTTTTGGCAATTAATTTGGAATGGAATTTCAAGTGTTTGAAAGAATTTCAGATGGTATTGAATTTTATTCATTGATATCGGGGCTCGAACTTGTTCCAAAAGGCATAACATTATTTTGAAAGAGAGAATATTGATAATGATATTTGTATTTTTTTTGAATTGTGATAATAATATAAATTGTTTTTGACCAGTTGGAAATAGGCATGATAGAGATTACATTATATGTAATTTCCATGCCACTCATCCATATTTGATCTATGTCATTGAATATATTGGTGAAATGACCATAGAAGGTTTAGTTACGCTTGACAGTGACAAAAGCCGGCATAATCTCATAATCTAAGGATAAATAGCATACAGTTGTGCACTACGGATATATGATATAATTATAGGTCAATGTGTAGTCCAAGTGAGAGATTGTAAGGAAATTATATTTCCTAATGTGTTTGTAGGCTACATATTGTATAAATAATTATATTATGCTATCTAATATATATTGGATAAA